AGGCTCCATGATGGAGGGAGGGCTGCAATACATGCAGCTGGCAGAAAATACCTCATGAAATCTGTACCAATTGACTTTCCCCCATCCAACAGTTGTCCTCGCATCTTTGAATTTGCAAAAATGAAGAACTATGTTTCTTGATCACACAGCCCAGTGGTTGGAATCTTTCAGTTTTGTTGTTCTTTTCTTTTGTCTTGCAAGAGTCCCTGTCAAATCAGAATGAAAAGAATGTTTTGTAGCGTGAGAAAATTTAAATTTCCCACTTAAAGCCTGGAGTTTATTAGCAGGGGTATACTCACTTATTTCAAGGGTCACTGGGTTATGCAGAAGAGCCTGTCTTTCTGCTACCCAAGTCTCAAACATTTCACCTGAAAACAGTTTAGAAATACCCCACAGTCTATTAGCTTTCTATGGGGCCTAATTCATCTTTGTTGTGCCTTGACCCCTGACTCCTTCAAATGGATGGCCCTGCTTTGATGATGTACTATCTCTTTCTTCTTGATCACTTTTCAGTAAAGTAATTGTCTCAGTTTAATTGGCTATAATGACAAAAAAATTGTTTATATTACATGGCAATATTCTTTTATCAATCATACTTAGGTTAACTATTTTATTATTTATACCCTAATATAGAAACAGCTTTCTCCTAATTTGAATTTAAAACTATTTCAAGGTAGAAACATGTATCAATTTTGTCATGCTTACGTGGGGCTTATAAGTGTGCCCATCACCCGGATGTGTTTATTGTACTTATTAGGTAAACGTTTGCTCATCCCCTTCTCCTCCATCCGCCTGCTTGATGTCCACTGAGCTTTACCTCCTCTAAGCACACATGTGTTCATCAGTTTCAGTTTAATAGTGAGTACGTGTGATGTTTGCATTTCCATTCTTTTTGTTCTTGAATTTTGCTTTCAGTTGTCTTAGTTTCAAGGGTTTTTTTTTTAATTTTCTTTTTTTTTTCCCTTTTATTTATTTATTTATTTATTTTATTGAGACAGAGTCTCATTTTGTGGCCCTCGGTAGAGTGCTGTGACATCACAGCTCACAGCAACCTCCAACTCTTGGGCTGAAGCAATCCTCTTGCCCCAGCCTCCCAGGTAGCTGGGACTACAGCCTCCCACCACAATGCCCAGCTTTTTTTGGTAGAGACAGAGTCTCACTCTGGCTCAGGCTGGTCTCGAACCTCTGAGCTTAGGGCAATCCACCCGCCTCGGCCTCCCAAAATGCTAGGATTACAGGTGTGAGCCATCACATCCAGCCTGTTTTTCCATTCTTTGGATACTTCTTTAGGATGATGGTCTCTAGTTCCACCAAATTGTGGCAAACAGCTTTAATTCATCCTTCTTCCTGGCTGTATGTTATTCCACTCAAGAACTGATGGGCACTTGGGTTGATCTCATCCACATCTTTGCCATTGTAAATTGCTTTGCAATAAATATTCTAATGCAGAAGTCTTCTTAATAATGTGACTTATTTTTCTTTGGGTAAATACCCAGTAATAGGATTGCTGGATCAAATAGTAGGTCTACTTTTAGTTCCTTGAGGAATCTCCATATTGTTCTCCATAAATGTTGTACTAATTTGCAGTCCCACCAGCAGTGTATAAGTATTCTTTTGTCTCTGCAACCATGCCAGTATCTATGGTTTGGAATTTTTAAGAAAAGCCATTATAACTGGAGTAAGACGACATCTCACTGTGGTTTTAATTTGCATTTCTCTGATAATTAGTAGTGGTGAACAACTTTTCATATGTTCATTGGCCATTTGTTTTTCTTCTTTTGAAAAGCTTATTTTCATGTCTTACCCACTTTTTAGCAGGGTTGTTCGTTTTTTCCTTGCTGATTTACTTGAATTCTTTCTAGATTCTGGTTATTTGCCCTTTATTGAGTGTATAACTTGTGAGTATTTCTCCCATTCTATATGTTGTCCATTTGCTCTGTTGATTATTTCTTTAGCTGTGCAGAAGCTTTTGAAATTTAATCTTTTTAATTTGACTTTTAATTGGTCTATTTTTATTGCATGTGTATTAAGGTTAAAACCTAAATCTTGGCAAATAAATGAAATTGCCACTTCTTATTACACAGACTTGTAACAAAGAAATTTTAAATTATAATATTGAGAGGTAGAATGTAGTGAGAAGAGACCTCAGAAACCCACAGATCTGGATTTAGATACTGCATCAGGACTTGCCAGTCCTGGGACATTTCTGAACTTAAATTATCATATCAACCCTATGAGGACTGCCTGAACATTAGTGATGTGTGTATAAAGCACAACATTTTATCTAATGTTAGCTATTATTTTCTTTAGCTTTGTCACTAACCAGATAAGTCATTTTGAGAGAGCTCCATAATTTCTGTTTCAGGTTTCTCTAATAAGTAAGAGGACAGAACTAGATAATTTTTGCTTTTTCTGTCAAAACTCAGTTAATAAGTAAACCTCCTTTATTTTTTAAAACTAATTTTATATTAGACAGAGTTTTTTCCTAATAAATTTTTCCTGAATACTGATGACATAAATTGGAATGTGGACAGTAATGTGAGGATAAGGTGACAAAAAGAAAATGATCAGTAAAAAATAATTTCATTATAGAATGTTGGAACTAGAACCATAGCAAAAATAAGTAAAGACATAAATTATCATAGTTAAAAGAAAAAAAAATAGACCAGTAGTTAAATCATTTATTTAAAAACCTTTTATGATTCCCTATCAGATTAAACGAGTGATCTTGGAAAAAGTGCTGGAAAAGTTTTATTGACTTTTTAAATCTTAGCTTAATCAATCTGCATAATACTTGCTTCTTACCTAGTTCTCTGAGTTCCCTGGGGGGAAAAAAAAGAAAACTAAATATATTCAATATAATCATGTGTATACTTTTTAATTATTCCTGTTTACAACACATTTACAATATTTGTTTATCTTCTTTGCAGAAGAAACAAATTTAAAAAACGACTCCTAAGATTTATCGGTCATCAATAGTAGCAGGTTTTATTCTTTTCATTTGTTTTTACTTTTACACAGCTACACTATTTTTCCAAGTATATTTTTCAAAACCAGCTTTATTAAGTCATAAATCATGTTTAATAATTCAGACCATAAAGACAGAAAACAAAATTTAAAACCTGAGAACTTACATTTTCTCATTTACAAATGCATCGGAGATGTGGATGCCCTCTCTCTTTTTTGTGAATGAGAGGTCATGACACATAAGCAGAAAAAATGCAAAACTAAGTGCTGGTATAGATCATTACTTATCTGAAAACTATATTTTAAATTTGTAGCAAATAAGTTTCATGTGAAAATCAGTATTGTAGATGGGGCTGGAGATATGACTAATAAGCCTCCAACTAATATTTTTTCTTTGACAGAATAGCTCATCCTGACACATCTAAAGAAACATTAACAATAATAAAGTATTAATAGCAACACTAATATCTACATTCCTGAGAGCTTTTAATAATAGGCTCTATGACTCAAAACTTTCCATACATTATGCCTTGCCTGGGAATATGTTTCTTATACTTATATTAAATTGAGAAAATATGTATCTAAATATAGGCACAGTTAAGATCATTTTAAATTTTATATAATAGCTCGAACTCATTTATAATAGCCAATTAGCTCAATTAAAACACCATATTCTCAAAATGAGACATCAACTACTTTTTAGGCAACTAAAAGTACCAAGGCAGAACTGAGTTTAGAACGGGTGTCCCATTTTACATTTTACACTGAGGACATTTTACAAAATGTCTAATTCTAATCTAAGATCCCCACCAAACCACATGACTTCAAGGCTGATTTTTACTAATGACCTCTGAGGCAGCTTTGAAGATATTTGCCAGGACTCTTGCTACCCATTCTATTCCCTTCCCAACTACATTCTTCCAACAGCACAAAATCCTGTTCCAGGCAAGAAAAGAAGAAAGCAAACATATGGGTCCCTTTTCTGATTTTAGCATAGTCATGATCAGAGTCAGTGCTAATGATGAAAGAAAATAAAGAGTGCTACTTTCTTCTTACGCAGTACTTTGCATGTTCATTTATATTTCTACTTTTATTTATTATTCTTATATGAATTGGGAAACTGGGATAAGAAGGAAATAACAAAAATAATAAACCTATTTAGGGAAACTCCTAAACTCTTCTTAAACATACTCCCTTCCAGGAAGGTTTAAGATTAATTCAAACTTTTGTTTTACATCCTGGGCAAAGGACTATTTTGGCATTCCAGAAAAACAAGGGGAAAATAAAATGATCTTAAACTTTTTAAAAATTACATATCTTCTTTAGGATTCTCAGGAGAACTCTGGGTTCTATAACAGTCTGATTAAAGTCTGGCAAGGAACGAACATTACCTTGTGTGACTGTTTCAGCAGAGATGACTAGAGAACACCAAAGATTTACTTCAGAAGGAAGAGCCAGGTATCTTACCAGCAAGTGACAAAAAGGATCATAAACACTGGGTAGAGATGGAGGAGGTAATAAGAAAGGGAGCAGCTACCACACCCTGAGGCTATTCAAAGTAGATAGAAAGTAGAAGGATTTCAACAAAGTACTGAAGAAGAATGAAAAATGGACCTTCAGCCAAAGGTAAATGAAAATAAGAAGAGGTGCTAGACTAGAGTCTCCACTTTGTTATAGGTTTCAGAAGATACTACCCGAAATAATGAAATTGAGTGAGTTCCATCCTCAGAGAAGTTACGTGAAAGTTCAGCCAACTGAATACGTGCGTCAAATAAGCATGAATCTTGGGACCACTGCTCCAGAGCAAATCCGACCTCAGTCTAATGGAAAGGAAGTAAGGAGTAATTCTACCACTGGGGAGAAGTTGAAAGCCTCAAAGTTACTTTGCTTTTACTATCTGTTTAGTGCAGATCTCATCATAAAAGCAGCTTTCTATCTCTTTGAAAGGCAAGAACTCAACTAAGAAAAACAGTGACATACAGAGAAAACTATAAAACTAAACAACAAGAGAGTGCTATGTCAGTACCAGCTTGCTACAGGCTTTGGTGAGGCAGCACTTTGTTTTTGCCCAGACCCCTCAATAGACCAGGTCTCAGAACCTCAGCATCATCGCCTGTGTCAGCTTGCTTGTTACTCGTTCTTCTGGGAAGCTTCTGCTTCCTAAACCTTGAGAAGGTCTGGCAGACACAGCTTAGGAAGCCATCAAAGCAGAGGGGTGGTGATGCCAAGGATGTCACAGCAGGAGGTGAGGTCCCAGACTCCTGAGGGACCGGGAGGTCACAGGACTGGATCTGGCATCCTTCTTGATACATCACGCAGCAACCCTCATCCTGCTTGCTCTGTACTCTTTCCTGCAAGTAGAAGAAAGAAGTTACAAGCCCTCAAAGCTAATACCCAAATTTAAAAAATAAACAAAAAATATGACCCTCTGAGCCAGTTCTTTCATGCTCTCTCTGGGTCCAAGTATCTCAGTTTGTTTCTCAAGCTCATTTATCCTCAACTTCTCCCATGCCAGGGGAAAAGCTGTCATTATTTTTATTATGGAAGAGTTTCTAAAAAGCTCAGGATTTTGCCACCTCATGCCTCATCCCTACCTTACTGGGAAGGTAAGGATTATCTTCATCTTCATGACTGTTATCCATAGTCTCATCTTCACTTTGTGGTGGTGCTGAAGGTGTTGGAAGAATGGGCAGGCATTTGGCCTCCCTTTTCTTCTTTCTCTTGATCTTTCTTATTCTCTTTGCCCTTACAACCTTCCTAAAATTCCTTGGCTTACTGGAGAGTGGATCCAGCTTTCTCCTCTGGACTGGAAGCATGGCAGGACCTTGTGAAACCTCAGCCACATGACTCTCAGGTGTCTCCTCCAATGGCTCTGATGATGATTCTAAACTTCTTTGTAGAGGGTCATGTTCTGATAGGTAGACTCTGTCCTCTGTATCTTCAGTATGATCTTCATCAGTGATATGTGTAGGGATGGACATTAGAGATGCTGGACCTTTGTCATTGGCAAGTTTTTTTGGACTCGCTATTCTGACCCCAGCCAGCTTTGCAGGAACCAAGAGTTCACAACAAAGGAACCAAGAGTCAAATGCTAAAGGAAATAGTTACTACACTGACTCTTTCTAATGTATCCTCAGCTATCACAGACACAATGGTGTATTAATCTCAGATTTCTCCTGTGGACTTCTCTAAAGGAATTCAATGACCTTCAGAGAGTTCTCATGTTGTTCTTGGCCTAGGAGGTCTCAGATTTCCTAAAAGGAGAGAGAAAAGTCTTTGAAGTAATTGCACCATGGACAAGGAATCCCTCACATAACCCACATTCACTAAGATTCTGCCATACCTAGCATAAATCCATGGATATCAACTATATTTAATAACTTACTAAATTTCCAGAGTATTATTTTCTAAAGTAAGGAAATCATACAGTATTAAAATTAAGTAGCCCAAAGTCTTAAGAGTATTTTTAAATACTGGAATTTCCATCCAGAACTTTCTATTCTATTTTTATTTCCAACTCTAATGTGTTTCTCATATCTTTATTTTACTTTAACATAGTAGATGCTTAACAAATATTTGTTGACTACTGGATTAATAGGATGAGAGAATGAATGTATGCATGAATAAACAAAGTATTCTGAGAAAGTTCCTTGATTTGTGGCTATAGAGAATAAGGAAGTATTGGTAAACTCCGCAAGAGGATATCCAGTAGTTTTTGGTTATTCCTCAGTGAAGCTGACAGGGCTTTCACATAGCAACTATCAATTTGATGTAAGCCTCTTAAATTACATACCAGATTCAATTACTTGTCATAAGAAAATGGTAACTGACAGAGTTTATTTGCTAATATACTGACATGGAATTCTTAGGTTTAGTTTCACATTGTTAGGAAATTTTGGTAAACTCTTTCAGAGGGAAAAAAGGTTTGTATAATAAATGAGAGAATGTAGGTTCAAGTTCTATTTGTCCCCTCCATCTAAAGCAGCTACAGAAGCAGCAACTATAAGAGCATTGCCACAGAAGCCTCTAAAGTAGTGGAAATAGAATTAAAACTAAGTCAGCAAGAAAAATTCAAGCCTCCAAAAATCAACTTTGCTTTTCTACCCTGCTGGCACCGGTCAGGTCTAAGTCAGGCCTGCATCACGCATTCACTGCACTTTACAAGGTCCTACTCCTGAATTTAGCCTCTGTTCTCTCTTTTCCACCCTTTATTCTTCCATAAGGAAGCTACAATGATCTTTCTAAAAGAAATCTCTTCATGTCACTGCTCTGTCTAAAGCTCTGTTCCCTAGTCCCCCAGCAAGATCACACACAGGTCCTGTGTGATATGATTCCATGCCATTTGTCCAACTTCAACTCCACCACTCACTCTCAAGTATCTTATGCTGATGCAGAAACAGACAGCCTGCCATGGACTGGGCACAACACAGTTCCTTACACACTCACCCTTTTGCTTTCAATGCCCTCTTCATTACCTGGCCCAGCTATTGTATCACTTCTTCTATGTAAATTTAGATGATTTCCTCAGGCCAAAAAAAATATATATGTCATATATATATATATATATATGTTCTTGTATAATACTCCACATCTACAAAAATCATCTGATTCAATTATAATAAGTTGTTTAGGCTCGGCGCCTATAGCTCAACCGGCTAAGGCGCCAGCTACATACACCTAAGGTGGCGGGTTCGAATCCCCAGCCCGGACCCGCCAAACAACAATGATGGCTGCAACCAAAAAATAGCTGGGCGCTGTGGCGGGCGCCTGTGGTCCCAGCTACTTGGGAGGCGGAGGCAGGAGACTCGCTTGAGCCCAGGAGTTGGAGGTTGCTGTGAGCTGTAATGCCATGGCACTCTACCCAGGGGGACAGCTTGAGGCTCTGTCTCAAAAAAAAAAAAAAAAAGTTGTTTAGATATCTATCACTTTTACTAGGCTTGGAGCTCCCTGAGGACAGGAATTCATGCTCATTACTTGATCCCTAGTATCTCCATGGTACTTGACCTCAGGAAGGCATTAGTCAATATTTGTGGACTTCCAAATGCAAGGCTATATAGCCTGCCTCCCATAATGTGTGCTTCAGAGGCCAATTTCCCCCTTTAATTGACCCTCTCTTTAAATGCACAAAAACACTAAAGGTTAGAGGACCAAACTGAGAAGGTCTGACCAGGTACTCAGAGCTATAAATCAAGCTACTAATACGAGTCTGTGATGTCACTGGCTGACTTCACTCAGAAAAGAGTTGCTCAGGCAGTGGTTAATACCACCCAGCCCAATTCTATCCTAGAAGCATTCTTTCACTCATTTCCCCACTAGAATCCTAAGACTATGGAATACTATCTGTGGAGGTCTTCTGGCTATTCAGACTGCTGGCTCCTGGTGCAGCTTGCTGGTAGACTCTCAGCATCCCTACCTCCCTGCCCTGGTCCATGTGGGTCTTCCCTCGAATCTCAGTGGTCCCTGAATTTCCAGTTTCTACCCAGAATCTGCTATTGTCTTTCCATAGGGTACATATTCATCTCCCTTCTGGTGACCCAATTCTGATGATATTCTTCCCCAGGGACTAGATGTGCTCACATGCAAGGATTGAATGTGCTCACGTTCAGTCCTGACAAGAGACAAAAGAGGTTTGTGTTATGTGAATCTCACTGAATCTGGAACATATGATTCCCCTGAATTTCATACATCAGAAATAATTGAATATATAATACATACAAATTTACATGTCACAAGCAGAGCCCATCTGTCTCCCCAAACTTATTATACTTCAACTTTCTTCATGATTGACTTTTCCCCCATTCAAACATGCAAGGCTGAGAGTACTGGAGCCCTTGGAAGAACCTGCTGCCTAAGCAGAATCAAAGCCAGTTCTGAAGTCTTAAAGCAACAACTCTTGGCCACTGAACTTTTGGCTAGTCTTAAAGTAGAGACTAGAGAAAAAATTGCTAATCATTATTGACAGTGAAGTGACTATCTTTCTTAAGAAAGAAATGATTGGCATAAACCAACTGTGCTTCTCAGCAACTCTCTAGAGAATTAAATAACTGAAGCATCAGGCAATTTTTTTGAGGATGACCTTTCATATTAAGTGAAAAGTTGAAGACTAGTCTCTCAAAGGGAAAGAAAATGAATAATCTGTGAGAGCAACTACTCATTTCTGAGTAGACAGAAAAAAAAAGACTAAAATATGATAATAAACATCACAGACTGTTGCATTACAAATTAAGTGCATCTTCTGTTCTTAGAATCATGAATCAAAACGGGGATAGGAACTCTTTAATACAGGTTCCAAAAAAAATTATAATGACTGATATACTTTAAATCACTTGTTTTCTAACTTTGACAGACATCCAAATGACAGACAAGGCTTTTAAAACAGAGATCATTGGGGCCTGTCCCTAAAGATTCGAATTTAGTAGGTCTTAATAAAAGAGAATTCTTATTCCTAACAAGTTCATGAATGATGCTGCTGGCCTGGAGACTGCACTTTGAGAACCACTAAATTAGGTGATCTCTGTTGCAAGACAAGACACACCCATTCGGGGTAGTTTAAAAAAAGAAGAAGAAGAGGGATTCCTAACCACTTGTTATGAACAAACATAAGATGAAGAGACTGAAATAACTGTTTGCTGGGTTGGAGGCTTCAGCCTATATTTTGGGCTTTTTGAAGGATATGGCCAGAGGCAATATGCATGAAATGTGGGTAAATATTGACATTGGGCTTGACAACAATTCCTTTCTCCATGAGGACCTTGCTACCTTCACAGCTCCCCTTCCAAATTCAACCTCCAGTTAGTTAATATAGAAGCTTCAAAATGTAAACATCAAAGAAGTTCGAAGGTTAGGAATACACATATAAAAGAGTTTTACTTTTCTAAATAAGATAATTGAGCATTATCCCTTTATTAAATTCATGCTCTTTACTAAAATTCCAGCATCTCATTTTAAAACTTTACCCCTCTGGGCTGAAAATCAATGCAGAAGATATGCTGTAACCTTTGATTTCACCTAATAAAACAATAACAAATAATGCACTCAGTGGGTGGTTAAATCTGATAATATTTTGTGATGAATTTTCTGTAGTAATTCAATTAATCCTATTGGCCAGCCACCAGAAAGTATACAGATCACCAAAGTTTTATAGCATTTCATATTTGATCTTAAAGAGGCTATATTAATTTTGTGGTTGTTATTTATTAACTTAAATACTTCAAGTATGCCTTGTTCCATATAAAATGTTGATAACCATTTGTATTTGTACTGTTTAAGTATCTGTTGGATCATATTATCATGGTGCTTAAAATTCTCATTAAAGAGCAAAACATTAATCAGTGAGTACATTACAAAAGTAGCATTAATATGATCTCTGCAATATGACTATTTCTTAAATGTTCTGAGGAATCAATTCGTGGTGGCTTCCCTGTCCTTTCCTTAAATTACTAGGGCCCTGAGAAAAGGAAAATTTCCACTTAAAGCCAACTGAAGCCATTCAGAATCATTGAATCATTTGGTCACATCTAATCCTGCCAGGGTTCCTAGCCAAAGAGTCAATAATCCTTCTGTGAGGCCTTTTGTTTTTCTTTCTTTTTTTTTTTCTTAACCTTTTTTTTAAATTTATTTTTTATTAGATCATAATTGTGTACATTAATTCTATCATAGGATACAGTGTGTTGCTTCTATATGCAGTTTGGAAAACTCTCATCCAACTGGCTAACATAGCCATCATGTCTTTCTCATAATTGTTGTGTTAAGACATTTATATTCAACCTTTAGACAAGTTCACATGTACCCTAATAGGATAAATTATAGGCGTGAT